CGGTCACCCGCGTTTCCTGGGAGTCTGCCGCCCCACATAGTCAAATGCTGTGGACACGGGAAGCTGGGGTGACAGGGGTGCTGGCCAGACCCGGGTCTGCAGCGGGCAGTAAACTTTCATGGCACTGACTCACTGCCGGGTGGGGCGGGAGTCAGAGGCGGCCAGAGGCGCCGGGGTGGCCAGTATCCCTCCTGCTGCCCGGGGTGAGGAGGCCTCAGCTGAGGAATGGCCCCCCCAGGCAGCTGCACGTGCTACCCCTGGGCTGTGACCGCAGGGGGTGGAGGGTACGGGGCTGGGTGGGGGCAGGCTCTGTGGGAGGAGTGCACCTGTGCTTGTCAGGACTGCTCACAACATCTGGAACGTTCTCCTCGGCTGTGTGCCGCACGGCTGCTGGAAGCTGTGAAGTGGGGTGCAGGACCCTCTCTGTCCCTGCCTGGCCTGGTGCTGGCAGCACAGGCCAAGGGAGCCTCTCCTGGTGTTGCTGGGGGCATCTGGGGGCTCCGTCAGATGGGATTCAGAGCTCTGCTGTCATCTTGGGCTGGGGCTCGGGGTGAGTGGACCCCCAGGTGGGTGTTGGGGATGGCCTTGGGGGCTCCTGAGTCCTCTCGGGGCTGGCAGCTGGGCCCTCTGCACCATGGGAACCTGGAGCTAGCTGCCCTAATCAGGGAGGGGGTGGGCGTGACGACTGGATTGCCAGCTTTGAGAAATCAGGGGCTGGCACCCCAAATCCAGAGCTGCCACTTCTCCTGAAAAGCCAGCCCATCTGGAAGCCCTGGGCCACATTCCTGGTAGGTGGGGTGGGGGGGTGCTGTGCTGCCCCAGCTGGCCTCTCCATGCCCTGGGAGGCTTCCCCAAGAGGGCACTGCAGGGGGCTTCCATCCCCCGGAACCGGTTACCATGTGGGGCCAGGCCACGGGTCACACGTGAACCTGTCCTGCCTGGGTTCTGTGGTTGGCCGGTCCCGGGACCTGTGGGTGAGTCCTCTCACGGGGGCAGAGGGGATTCGGTCAGGTTCCCTGAGACGGGTGACCTGGGGGCCGGTGTCCTCACAAGGTCCTCGAAAGCAGAGGACTGTCCTGGCTGCAGGCTCCCATGCGCCATGCTGGCAGTGAAGGCGGGTGGCCCTACACGACAGCTCCCAGGCCCGCTGACCAGTGCGTGAGCTTGGAGGTGGGTTCTCCCCAGAGGATGTGGCGCGGCCCAGGCCTCACGAGACCAGACCAGAGGGCAGGCTCGCCTGGACTTCTGACCCACGGCCTGTGACCTGTGGGAGGGTGCGTGCATGCTGTCGCTACTTGCTAACGCAGAAGGAAAAATGAGTCCAGGCTCCGTTGATGGGTCTCGGAGTTCCTGTTACTGCAGCTCAGAGGACTCTGCCCACTCCCCAGTGGTCGCCATCCCCAAGCCCAGCCCAGATCCTGCAGGGTTTTCCTTTTCCTGTGGACCAAACAAATACCCTTCGAGCTTGGACAAAGGTCCCTTGCGATGTTCTTGGCACCAAGCTGGACTGAAGGAGCCCGAGGGGGCACTGATCCACCAGCCTACTCTCCCAGGACTGGCATGGCCCAGCTCTGGGCAGCCCCAGCTGCCGCCCACTATCCAAGGGGCTTGGTAGAAGTGACATCAAGCAGGGATGGCAGCAAGCACCTGAAGGGACAGACCACCCTCTGCATGGACCCCAGACAGACCAGGGCACATCAGTGTCAGGGGACCAGGAAGTGGGCACCAGTGGGACTTGGCTTCACATCTGCCCAGGGAAGGAAGACCTGAGGGTCAGAGGAGACCACAAGCTCAGAGTGTCTGAAGGCCACAAATAAGCACAAGTCCTGGGCAGACTGATCCCAGATGAGGGGGCTCACATGGAAGATGCTCAGCTGCCATGGGAAGCCATTCCATACCTGTCAGTATAGGCAGTTTTTGAGGTCCTCCAAGCGAGGGTGGGCTAGCAGGCTGGAACTCAGTCCCCACCAGAGAGCTGGGAGGTTGGTGCCACTGCCTTGGGAAACCCTTAGGCACTACCCTGGGAATGCCGAACTGCTTTGGGCAGAGGGGGACCAGCTCTGTGGGGACCCCTCCAAGATCCAGGCTCTGTTCCCAGCTGTGACAGAGGAGTCTCCCTGTCTTGGTCCCTGAGCTCCACTCGGCCCTCAGGCTGGAGCAAAGGGCCATGTGCCCTGGGGCTGGCGGGGCACTGACTGGCCTCTTGAGGGCCCCAGGACCCCGGTGTGTCCTGCAAACAGGTGCTGTTCACTTCCATCATCTGTTGAAAATCGCTTTGTAAAGCACTCACCTTGCCTAGCCAGCTGGTCTGTCCCAGGCAAGCGGACGGGTCTGCGGGCCAGAGGCCAGAGAGGCAGCCCCCACAGGTGACCTCGCATCCGTGTGTCTGGAACCTCACTCCACGGCCTCCTATGCACACGTGTTCTGGAGAGCTGCCCTATCTGATGTGTTGGGGGGCTAAGTGGCTGTACCTGTCGCCCAGCCTGGGTCTGCCCTTGGGTACATGCCCCACAGTGTGCGGGCCGCTATGTGTGTACCCCGTTGCCGGCCCCCCACGGCATAGCTCTGCTGCTTCCGCTAGGGGTGGCGGGCAGCCTTGGGTGGGTGACAGGCTGTGCAGTTGCCCTCCACCAGGCTGCCTCCATTCACTGTTCGCCTAGGGGCCTCCACCAGCCACATGTTAACCATGCCAGGCCAGGGCTAAGACCTGCAGAGGCTGCGGGGTCTGTCCACCCATTTGGGTACGGTGGCCACCTTCTCCTGAGGCCTGGAGCTCTGGGGTTGTTCCCTCAGTGCAGGGCGCTTCGTGTCAGAGCCGGACAGGTTTTGCAAGAGCCACTCAGTCAGTTCAGACTCCCGCTCCCAGTGGGGGCCTTGAGGGGCCTTGGGTCCTGCAGGCTGCCTTTCTTCAAATTAGGAGTAGAAATGTGACCTGTCCTTCCATGCTGTTGAGTGGACTTCTCAGCAGTCCCCCCGCGGCCTTCTCATCCCGGCCTGGTGTGTGCACGGTGGAGAGGGGAGGTGCGTCTGGCTCTGCCCGTCGTTGGCATGCCAAGTCCTGGGTCCCAGATGCCCCCTGGGGACTCCGGAAACCTGAGGTCACGCCTGGTGCCAGGCATGCCAGTCAGCGGTGCCCCTGGCCCCCTGGGGCACAGTGATTTGGGCTGAGGGGTGGGTGGCTTCAGCTGGGGTTGCCTCCCCTGACTGTCCCAGTGTCCCAGGACAGCCACAACAGCTGACCTCAGGCTGGGCAGCTTAAACCACAGAGATTTGTTTTCTCCCCATCCTGGAGCCCAGCTGTCTGAGGTCCAGGCAGGGCAGGGCCTCGCCCCCTCCGGAGGCTCCAGGGGAGGGTCCTTCCTGCCTCTCCAGGTGCCAGGGGGCCCCCAGGCACCCCTGGGCTTGTGACTGCATCCCCCTGATCTCCACCCCTGCCCTGTGGTCACGTCTTCTTTGTGTGTTTGTGTCAGATGTTCCTCTTAGGAGGACACTAATCATTGTATTGGGCCACCCTACTCTAGTGTGACCCCCACTTTAACTGATTTCACCTGCAAAAGCCCTATTTCCAAGTGAGCATCTGTTCCCAGAGAACACATGAATTTGGGGGACACCTGTGCCTCTGTACGCCTCCCCTGTCCCTCTGCTTGGCCCCATACCTCTGGGCCCAACTGCCAAATCCACAACCCGGTGGCTCTCCAGCTGGCCTTCAGCCGCCCGCCTGGCCCTTGGTCCCTGGGGTCTGCCCTGGCCCCGTATGATCCCAGCCAAGTACTGTCCCAGCCTCAGTGGCCAGCAGATAAGGAAGGAAAGAGCCCCTGCCTTCCCCTGGGACCCTCTCCCCTCACTTCTCCCTTCCTTTTTGTCCTTGGGGCTGGCCCACCCCTGGAGGCTGCTGTCCAGGGGCATGGGCCCTGTTGGGGTCCCAGCAGGACCTCAGCTCGGGCCGGTGCCCCTAGGATAGGTCATGGGGCCTCACCCCACGTCCAGCTCAGTCAGGGTTGCTGTCTCTCCGCCCTGCTGACGTCAGCACATGCCATCTTGGCTTGACTCCTCCATCCGGGGGCAGGGACGCCTCTCTGGGACACATCTGCTTGGGGACTGACCCGGGACGGCTGTGAACCGTGAGGTGAGGGGGGCTCCTCATCACCCTAGGCTCCACAGGCAGGTCCTCCTCCACGCAGTCCCCACTGGCCAAGTTGGGGCCGGCCAGGCCCCCATGCGGGTTCCGGCCTCTGCAGCCCCAGCCAGCCTGCGTCCCAGATCCTGGGGCCTTCAGCTGGGGTCCCGTGGAGGGGCTGCTGTCTGCGGGAAGGCCAGCAGGTCCTTGCTGCCACGGGCCGGCTCTGGGTGGGGACCTGGCTGAGGTTGTGAGCGGCAGAGGGCGGGCCGTCAGACGCCAGCCAGGGGCGTGTCCTGGGGTCGGCCTCCCCCAGCTCTTGATCTCCCCCACATCGCACTCTCTGTTGTCCTGTCTGGGCCACTAGTTCCTTGACCTTTCTCTTTCACAATGACTCACTCGAAAACCCGATCTCTAAAGGAAATCCTTGGAGCACAAGTCCCGATGGTGAAGCGCAGACCCAAGGGAGCGCCCACCCTTCAGCCGCCCTGAGACAGGCGTCTAAAAATACACACTGGCCACTGCCGGCGCCTGCTGGCCTGCTGGGCGGGCTCTTAGATGTCCCTGTTAGAGGCTCGCTTCATGCCCTCTGGGGCTGATCCCGGCAGCCGGAAGCCCCCCGGGGCTGCCCCGTGTTCTGGAGAGCTCAGGGCCTGGAGTCAGGGTGCAAAGCACAGGACGGGGTGGATCGGGGTGGAGGCCCAAGGGGAGGGGAGGGCTGTTTAGAGACCACCCCTGTGCCTGGGGCTGGGGGGGGCAGGCAGAAAGCCTCGGGCTGTGGAGTCGCTGGGAGACATGACTTTGGACCTAAGTCAGGATGGGGGCACCGTGGAGTGGCCTCGGGGGTCAGGACGGCAGTGGGCATGGCGTGAAAGTCACAGTACACAGCTTACCCTTTATGTGACCGGTGAGCGGTCTTTGGTGTGTTCACCTTCACATCTAGTGCAGTCGCAGAACATCCGACCACCCCAGCGCAGCCCCCACCCTGGCCCCCGGCACCAGTGAGCACACATTCTGTCCATGGAGGCACCCGTTGTGGGTGTGTCACGGAAGTGGGGTCAAACCGCGTGGCTCAGTGTGTCTCACCAAGCACCGTGTGTTCAGGGTCCGTCCATGTGTGGCACCTGGCAGGGCTCCGCTCCTGTTTGTGGCTGTGCGATGCTCCTTGTGTGGGTGGACACGTGGGTGCATCCGCTCACCATTGGTGGACACCTGGGGTCTTCCACCCTCTGGCTTGTGGGGCTTGTGCGGCCGCAGACACGGGTCCTGGTTTTGTGTGGCTGGTGTTCCTGTGTCTCCTGGGTGTGCGTGCATCAGCTGGGGCGGAGCTGCTGAGTCAAGTGGTCACCGCGGTTAAGCTGGAGGAGCCCCTGACTTTGCTAAGTGTCTGCACCCCTGCGTTCCCCCGCATGTGAGGGTCTGACCACCACCTCCCGTCATGCGGCCACTCAGTGCCCACCCTGCAGTCCTCCCCGTGTCTGGGTCTGCGTCCTTGCTTGGCCAGAGAAGCCTTCTGGGGTCCCCAAGGCACAGCAGCTGCCCCGCATCTGTGGACGGGTAGGACGCAGAGGCCCTGCCATAGCACCCCCCATGCTCCCCACTCTCCCGGCCACGTCTGGAGCCCTGTCTACAGGTGGCAGAGGTCCTTCTCTGGGAGAGTGATGCTCTGGCTCCTGTGAGAGCACATTCCTGAGCCCTCTGGGGCTGCCGCTCAAAGCCGGGCCCCCAGTACTTTGAGAGAGAGCAAGAGGGGCGGTGTGCAGGGCCCGGCCTGCCGGCTGGGTGCCACAGCCCATGGTGCCCCTGTTGGGACAGCCCAGGCTCCGTCGTTGCAGAGCTGGAGAGGGAAGGGGTCGGCTCTGCTTAGAGATGTGGCCTCTGAGGTGAGGAGGCCGTGGCGGGGTGCATGGCAGTGGTGGGGTTAGGAGCCCACCAGACTGCAGCGGCCAGGGCTCTGTGAGTGCGCGTGCACTCTGTCCTCGTACCCCAAATAAGCCGTCCTCCAGAGCAAACCAAGGCTCGAAGTAGCCAAGGTCCCGAGTTGTCAGACGCTGTCCCGCTGTTAGCCGAGTAGGTTCGACCCCATCCGCCTGACCCCAGTTCCCAGAGTAGCGGTGTATCTACCCAGGAGAGCCCTGCCTCTGTCGGCCGCCAGGTCTGCAGGAGACTGGAGCGGGGGCTGGAGGAGGTCTGGCCTCCAAGGGTCCAGGCCCGTGGGAAGTGGCGTCCTGCCAGCAGCAGTCCCAGAGGGCCTGGACCCATCCCTGCAGCAGCTGGCCCTGTGGGCCCCCTTTCCAGCCAGGCCAGGGGCTCGGGGTGGAGGCAGCCCCGCCCTGGCCCCCACAGGGTTGCACAAGCTGCCCGCGTGTGCGCACGATTACTGGAAGTCCCAAGGATTTCCTCACTCAGGGCTTGGCCAGGGTGGCGGCTGCCTCCCCTTCCTGCCTCCCGGGGTGACTGAGGTCCCCGTGCCTGGGAGCACGTGGGCGGCCCGGAGTCCCTGCTCACAGCCGTGGGGGGGCCCAGGGGCCTCAGCTCCAGGCCACAGGGCAGGTGGAGGTTGTGCGGGAGACTGTGTGCCGCGGGGTCGGCCCTGTGGCTCTCCCCCTGTCGGGTCTGCCTGCCCGAGAGGACAAGGGTGTTGTCAGTGGGATGCTGGGTGCCTTACCCTAAATCTGGCTGGGGGGCTCTTCAGGCTCAGCTCAGCCCCACCCCTCTGGCTGCAGAGGGGAAGGGCTGGCCTGTGCCCCCGAGGGTGCCCCCTGGCCTCTTGGACCCTGCCTTCCAGGCTTAGATGTGCCGTGCCACACAGCCAGGGCCGCGGGGGTCAGCCCACTGCTCTGCTGCTCACCCTGGGGGTCTCGGAGTTCGCGGTCTCTTTGTAGCTGGCTGGAGTATCCCCCTGGGCCTGAGGTGTTTGTGGGGTGACCCGGCATCAGAGCTGGTGCCTTGAATGGGGGGGGCAGTGGCAGGCAACCCAGCCACACTGAAGGGGCTGTGTCCTCGCAGAGCTCATCTGTCCTAGGTAGCACCTGATGCCCAGGTGGGGCCTGTGGTGAGGGTTCCAGGCCCGGTGTCCCCTGGAGGGGCAGTGGGGCAGCGGGTGGGGCTCCATGTGGGCATGGAGCGTGGAGGCTGAGCAGGGGTCCTGTCCAGGCAGCAGAGGGGGTGCTCAGGCTGGAGTTGGGGCAGAAAGCCCCTGCCCACCCCAGCACAGCCCCTGTGAGAGGCCAGGAGCCCAGCTGCACCCTGGCAGCTCTCACCAGTTCCACCCTCTTGCTGTGGGGGGGACAGGCTGGGTGGACACAGGCAGGGGTGTTGCACACACCGGCTGGGGCAGAGCCTGGGGGCCGGCTGCGCCAACCCCACTCCTTCTGGTCAGGCCTGGCCTGTACCCCTTGTCCCCTGGGAGAGCGCCCTCGTCCGGCATGGTCAGACATGCATTTCTCTCCCCAGGTCATGAGGCCGCCACCAGGGAGCAGGAAGCCCAGATAGACGCCCTGCGGCCCGGATCCTGGAGCCTCCCGATGCCGGCACTGGGGCCCACCATGGATGGGGAGTTCCCTCAGCACGAGCCCCCGCCGGCCGGCAGTGTCCTGTACAGCCCGCCGCCCCTGCAGACCCCACTGTGCGGCTCCGGCATCCAGGTGAGCACAGACTGTCCTCGGGATGCCATGCTGCGAGGACTGTCGCGTCACTGGCTGGTCTTCAGTGTTTTTCTCTTCAGTGTAACAGACTTTATTCTGTAAGCTGTTGAGGTTTATAGGAAGGCTGCAGGGAGGGTTGCCATCACCTGCGTCTCCCTGCGGTCAGCACCCTGTGTCAGCGAGAGTGCTGCTGTTACAGTCTGTGCATGCACGGTGACCGTTGTCGGGGCACGGTTTCCGTTAGGCCTCCCTCCCAGTGCTGTGCGTTCCGTGGGTGTGGGTGAGTGTGTGGTGGCGCCGTCCACCTTACAGTGTCACACAGAGTGTGTCGCTCCACCAAGTCCCCGTGCTCCGCCTGCCCGTCCCTGCCTCCCCCAGCCCCTGGCAGTTGTCTCTATAGTTCGGCCTTTTCCCCAAAGGCCTCGAGTTGGAGTCAGTGTGTCACCTCCGACTGGCTTCTGTCACTCAGGCATGTGCACTTATGGTTTCTCCCTGTCTTTTTTGGGCTCCTTTCTTTTGAGCTCTGAGTATCATTCCATCATCTGGGCCACAGTCTGTTCGACCATTCACCCATCGAAGGAGCCTCGCTGGCTCCCAGGTTTTGATGGGTGTAGTCAGGTATTGTTAGTAATAAAGCCGCCACGGGTGCAGGCGGTGCCTCCTCCCGTGACAAGCAGGTACACCAGCCCCCTGAAGGGGAGGGTCCAGAATTCTCCAGCCTGGAGCCCTTCTTTTCTGGGGTGAAACTGGTTCTCTGGGTGTGGGGGGAACCCCAGCTGCCAGGAGGCTGGTCAGGTGCTTGGTGCCAGAGGACAGCTTGGGGCTCAGTGGGGCCAGAGGGGGTGCCACTGGGGTCAGGTGAGGCTCAGGGTCAGATGCTTAGTGCCATCAGGAGGTGGAGCATGAGAGAGTGGCTGGGAGGGTGTGTGTGGACCCAGATCCACTCCTTGCTCAGCTGTGCCCATGTGGTACCCTAACACGATAGAGCACAGAACACGCAGTCCCTAGAAGGAGGGGGGAACATTTGGGAGGCGGGGGCAGAAAGGAGTCAGGGTTGCTGAGCCCAGGGCCCCCACCTCCTCTCCCTGCTGAAGCTCACCCGTGTGTGCCCGACCTTCCACACACCCACCACCCTCCGAGCCCCGTCCAGTCACGCCAGCCCATGCCGTGTGCGCCACACTCGGGAGTGTGTGCGCTCCTCGGGGCTCCAGCTCGCCCTGTGGGAGGCTCCGAGCACGTGCTAGCCATTCTCAGTGGCGCTGCTGCAGAATTCTTTCTTGTCAGCATCCCATGATTTGCTTAATTATTTCCCTATTGTTGGGCCTTGGGTGATTCCAGTTTTCTGCCACTATAAATAGCACTGCAATGTTTTCCTCCCCTCTCCTGGATTTTTCCTGGGGGTGTATTTCTGGAATAGAATTCCTGGGTCAGAGCAAGTGGTAGGCGGGTTTGCAGGGGATGGAGCCGTTCCACATGTGTTCCCTTCCCATCCCCTTTATGGTGACTCCGGACAGCGGCCAGGACCCAAGCTCTGCCTGGACAGCCCGTGGGGACCAGAGGGTCTCAGAAACCGGTGTGGGGGGATTTTTGGCCATGACAGGGACCCTCATGCAGGGGAGGTGCCTCATTGAGCCCCGGAGCTCTCCCCAGGGTGTGCGCCCAGCCTGTTCCTGCAGGACCACCGGCTGTTAGGGTCGCCCCCAGGACACACAGGTCCAGCACGGGCATGCCCTGCAGTCCCTGCAGCCCCCACAGGCACTGGGTGTGCACCCAGGTTGGTGAGGCCAGGACACGCTTTACTTCTCTCCTGTCCTGGGCTGAGCCAAGGTCAGCAGGAGGAGCCGTGAGTGGTACAGGTGGGGAAAGACCCCTCGCCCCCCAGGACTGTCAGTGTCACTGAGGTGGCTGAATTCAGCAGATGAAAACAGCGACATCCGTGAAATTTACGTTCCATGTTAACACAAATACTTTTTTACACATGTATGTTTCATGCAGTACTTGCACTAAGAATTATTTGTTGTTTATCAGACATTCCAGTTTCCCTAAACATCCTGAATTTTATCTGGCAGTTCTGTTTTATCTGCCACCCTCGCAGGAGGGTCGCCTTTCTACACCAGCTTACACACAGTCTGGCAGCTTTGGGCCGATGTCCCAGGAGAGGGCCCGTCTTTCATCTCCACCTGGAAAATCTCTAGGCCGACTTGGATTGGCTGCTTGGGGTCAGGTAACCATTCCTGGGTCAGTCACACCCCAGGGGCTGCCCCCTCTGACTGCAAGCGGAGAATCCCGAGGAAGGCTCTGATTGGCTGGCTGTGTGGTGCCCTCTCTGCAGGGTTGGTGCCGGGGGTGGGGGTGGGGTTCTGGAAGCCTGGTCGTGAGGCCCCAGAGGGCAGTCAGAGCAGGTCAGGTGGGCGGAGGAGCCCCCTCTGTCCTCCCCTCCGCCCCAAGGCCGTCCGTGCCCCTTGTGGGGTGCCAGCGCGCCCTCCCACTCCCTAGGCCGGGGCCAGGATGTTCTCCTCACGCCCTAGACGGTTTAGTTCAGCTAATGTGAGAGGCCAAGCACAGTCTGGAGTCGGACTTCTGCTCCGGAATGTTCCGGAAGTGCCCTTGGCCTTGGGAGTTCATATCCCTCTCTAGCTGGGTTTCTCTTCTCAAATGCTGCTGGAGCGGGGAAGTGACGCTCGACCAGGACCCTGGGGTGAAGTGGGGGTTCCTGCAGAGACTCCACCCTGCCCTCCTGGCCCAGGGACCATGGCTTCCTTCCGGAGGCTTCCACAGCACATTCCTCCTGGGAGTGTTCATGCCACGGCCCTCCTGCTGGGGAGGGGCCCTGTGATTCTTTCCCACCCCCCCACCTCTTCATGTTCATATTTTTATTCTGCGGCCTGTCCAGCTCCTGGAAGCACAGGCCTGACCCCTGGGCCGCACCAGGCAGTGCCTCTCCCCTCCTTCCTGCATGCCGCCTCTCGGGGACTGTGCATCCGGGTGCTGACAGGCCCCTGCGAGGTCGGAGTGGGGGCGCAGTGATGGGAAGTCGGGCCGGCTCCTCCCCGCGGCCAGAGGGACCATGGGAGCAGGGCTCCCGGGCGACCCCTGGGCATCTGGGGCTGGTCCCGGGCCAGCCCTTGGTTAGTGAGTCTTGCGGAGAGCCAGGAAGCGGCCGCCCGGGAATTGCCTCCTGTGGCCTCACTGAGGAGCGGGGTTTGAATGGGCCGGCTGGGGGGCCAAGCCGCTGGTCTCCCGTTCCCAGCCGGCCCTACCAGCTGGGACAAGCGGGTGCGGTGGCTGCCGCCAGCAGGCCTCTCCCCAGCGACAGGGGGTCCGTGTGAGCCATGGTGGGACCGGTGTGGGGCAGCGGCTGACGTAGGGGAGGGGACCCCTGCCAGGCAGGCCCAGGTGTGAGGGTGAATGGGCCACCCCCACGCTACAGAGGGTGTGAGTGTCACGGCCCAGTGCAGGCCGACCTCAGGCTCACCCTTCCCGCCACCCACTGGCGTTTCCCAGAGCAGGATCCCCGGAACTCCTGCCCGTGTTTGGCTGTTGCTGGGAGACCCCTTGGCCCCTGACGCTCCAGGAGGCTGGGCTGGTGCATGGTGTTGGTGGGAGCCCCTTGCCCTAACCTCGGCCACCTGCCTCAGTGAGCAGTGCCCCCTGCCCCGGTGGGCCACGCACTCCCTCATGGTACCCGGAGGGGCTGCCGCTGTCTTGCTTCAAGGCTGCCCCACCCCCCAGTGTTTAGAATGGGTGCTCCCACGCGGGGTCCCCGGGCCACCAGCACACCCGGGCCCTGTGTGAAATGCAGGTTTCCAGATCAGAACCCCCGGTGGGCCGTCTGTCCGGCTCCCAGGCCCTCTGGGGGCACCGGGGCCCCAGCCTGAGCCCTTGGCACATGTGGGTTGGCATCTCATCTGCTCTGCAGCTTCTTGGTGGGCCCTCCTACGTGGGGAGGAAACAGGCACAGGTTGGTTCAGGACTCCCAGGTGACCCAGCTGGGAGGCCCAGGGCGAGGCTCATCGCCGACATCGGAGCCCCCGGAGCTGAGTCCCGCAGGGCCCCCCACCCCTCCCAGACTGACGCCTGCTTCCTTTCAGAGCGCCATGCTGCACTGCCCCTGGTGGAGCCCCTTCCCGCCTGCACCATGTCCGGCCTTCTCCAGCGAAAGCCAGTAAGTTCCTTCAGCCCCGGGAGCCCCAGGGAACCCCACTGCACTGCTGGGCGGCTGCACTGCCCTCGGGGGCTTTGCTCTGCCTTCTAGCCGTGCAGTCACGGATTAGGTGAAGACAGAGCTCACAGCCGGGGGGCTTCAGGATCCTGCTGGCGGGCCAGGCCCCAGACTCCTGGAGACAGCCGATACTCCCCAGCTGTGACCTGTCTTAGCAGGATGCTAGGAGAAAGGGCAGAGTCAGTGGGGACTCGAGACCTGGGGGGGCACCACGGGGGGGGTCATGTGTGACACCAGGTGGGGCCGAGAGACTCGGGGGGCACAGGAGCCAGGAGGGCGCCTTCCCGCCGAGGGCAAGAACGAGGTGGGTTTTGAAGGGTGAGAAAGAGTTTGCCTGGGGGCGCAGGGCTGGAACCGGGTCAAGGACTGGCCCGTGCAGGGGGGCTGGAAGCACACGCAGCCTGAGCCCCAAGCTTCCCTAGGGTGCCACGTGCCGAACTGTGTTTGCAAGAAACCAGAGCTGTCCCTGTGGGCAGGCGGCCCCGCGCCTGCACTGCTGCACGTGCGGTGGGGAGGGCTGCATCCCCACCACCCCTGACGGCTGCCTGTCCTTCCCTGCCTCCTTCCAGCCAGTTCGTGAATTCCACCTCCTTCATTGTTGGCCAGCCCTGTGTGGACACCAGCTATGGCCCCATGGCCACCACCTCCAGCTTCCTGCCAAAGATCGGTGACTTCTCTCAGGTAGGAGAACTCCAGTCAGAGGCACCCCTGCCGCATCCCCGGGCAGCGCCGACAGCCTTGGCTGGGTCACAGGCCAGGTGCACATGTGGCTGGCTCTCGAGAGTAGCTGGTGCCCCTCAGCCCCCACCCAGCCCCAGAGCCCCCTGATTGCAGCTGTGCCTTTCTGGGTCCATCGGGGGCGGACCCCCAATGGGAGAGCTGGGTTGGAGGTCACATAATGAAGGATGGGGGGCCATGCCCACCATCCATCGCTCACATCCTGGTGTGGGCTGCAGGGCGGCGTCTTTCCCTGACTGCCACAGCTCCCTCCCCCGCAGCACAGGGGTCCCTGCATGTGCCACTCAGGCTCCTTGGCATCTCACAGGGGTCCCCAAGCTGTGCCGTGTCCTGCAGGTCCAAACACTGTCATGACTGTTTATGACCCAAAACAGCAGCTGCATGAGAAGTGAACCCTCTCCAAATAATAGGGAGAGATGACATTCGATCCATTCTCTTGGGGACTGGGCAGACCCCCACCCTCGCAGCCTGGTCCGTGGGGTTCTCGCTTGATGTCCGTGTTGCCTCATGGCGCCTCTCGAAAAGTAAACGCCACAAAGGTGATCGGTGGGAAGGAGCCCATGCGTGAAGGCCTGTGCTGTAATGCGACCAGCAAGCGGTGCTGGGGTTCTCGTGGTAACCCGGGTACCCCGCTGAGCCGGTTTGCTGCAGCCGGGAGCACCCGGTGCACAGCTTGGGATCTGTCTGGGTTGGGCGGCTCCAGGGGCTCAGTTCCCCTGAGCCTCAGCTTCTCCTGTGACATGGGGGCTCCTGGGGAGGGCACGGTACAGACCCGGCAGCTCAGACCCATTGGACCTGGACCAGGGCCATTTGAGCCAGCTTGCTCCGGCCAGAGCCCGGCCGCTCTGCACTTGGGGCTGCAGCATGACTGGGTCGAGAGCTGCACCCAGGGTCTGTGCTGCGGTCATCAGTCCCCCAGTTCAGGGCCACCTGAACCTCAGAACAAGGGCTTATTTGGAAATAGGGCCTCTGCAGGAGTGATTGGTTGAAGCTGGAGGTGAGGCCCCCCTGCATTCAGGTGGCCTTGACCCAGCAAGTCTTTACACGAGTGGAAGGGGAGACACCATGGGGCCACATGGCCCCGAGCCAAGGGTGCTGGGAGCTGGGGGGGGCTGGAGGGAACCTTCCCTGGAGCCTCCGTGCCCTGGGACGCCTGCCCTCCGCACCCAGGGAGAACACTCTGCTGTCTGAACTGCACCGACTTGACCACCACGGCCGCCCGAGAAGCTGTGTGCCTGGGCCCCATGGGGATGGGAGCGTGGCTGTTCCCAGGGCCCTGAGAGCCCCAGGGAGGCGGCCCTGCCGGGGTGCACATGTCATTCCATGGCCCTGGGGGCTCAGGACGGCTGTGGCTTCTGCAGTTTGCTGGCCGCTGTTGCCCAGCCTTGGGAGGCATCTGGCTGCAGGAGAGGGTGCCTGGCCGACAGCCCCAGACCCTCCCGTCCGCATCTCCTGCGTCTCCGGCCACCTGGCTCTGAGCCCCCTGTAGTTCAAGGTCCTTCCCGCTGTGTGCGCCACGCAGCTGCACATCTACACGTGTGGTCTTGTGGTGCTGCGCCGTCTGGGGCGCCGAGGCTGCCCAGGTTCTGTGGCCGCCCGTCCGTCCTTACCCGCCCATCTGGCTCTCGTGGGTTCAGCTCCCACCACTTCCTGGCAGCCCTCTGCCCAGAATCCCCATGGTGCCCAGCTGAGAGTCCCGTGGGGGTGCCGTGTCCATTTCTTATGCGCACTGGGGAAGCTCCGCCCAGTGATGCCCTTGTTGGAGGCTGCCCGCATCCACCCCGCAGACATTTACGAAGCGCCTGCTGAATGCAGCAGCCCACCCACTCTCCAGCCGCCCTTGCTGGGTGCACCTTGGACCCACATCTCCTTTCAAAGCACAGAATCCTCTTTAGGTGAAATCCAACCCTGGCGCCAGGCATGACATGCGGGAGACCAGCGCCCATTCGGGTGAGCGCCCCCAAGGCCCTGCAGCCAGCCTCCTGCACCACCCGTCACCCCTGGGCCTGTGGCCACGCCCGGAAGGAGTCCGGGCTGAGCTGGCATTTGAGGCCCTTCACAGCCAAGTCCCAACCCACTGGACCCACCACAGGCAGTGCCTGCTCCTGATTTAGACTAAACAGCATCTCCATGGTGGCCAGTCCAGGCAGGGGTAGTCTCAAAGACATCCCCATCCGGGTCCCAGGACCCGAGGACATGTCCGCTCACGTGGCAGAGGGGCCATGCACAGGGACCGGTCAAGGCCCCTGAGATGGGGGTGGCCCTGGGGTCCCGGAGCCCAGGGTTCTCACGAGGGTCCCTGTGAGGGGGGCAGGAGGTCAGGGTCAGAGAGACGGGAAGGCGCGGCCCTGTCGGCCGTGCAGACGAAGGAGGGGCCCCGAGGTGAGGCCGCGGCACCTCTAGAAGCTGGAAGAGGGGGACACGGTCCTCCTGGGGCCCCCGGAGGAGCCGGCCCTGCCCACTGGGATTTAGCAGTGTGAGGCCCGTGTGGACTCCCACCCCAGAACCTGGGAGAATAAATGTGTGTTGTTCTAAGCCGTGAAGTTTGCGGTAGTTTCTTATGTATCGAGAGGAAACCGGTATACCTTGCAGGGTCCTTGTGTGGCTCTGGCACACTCGAAACATGCTGTACTATTGCACGAATCAGAAGGAACTGGAGTGGAAAATCCAGACCTAGGCCGGGGGCGAGGAGTGAATACGAACCCACAGGCCTCAGCATACATCCTGGTGACTGAGCTTGAGCCTCGAGTGTCCTGGCAGCCAGAGCAGAGAGAGAAAGGGGATGAGCTGTGTGGCTCTTGTTGCCTGCATGGAGGAAGCTTCTCCCCAGCTTCCCTGTGGGGTGTGGAGTGGCTCCCCAGGGTCCGTCCGCGTCCACCCCGTCTCCGGGGAGTGTGCTGACCTGTCGGCTCGCTGGCCTGTGGGTGCCCCTGGCCAGTCCTCCCGATGGGATGGTGGGTTGCTGTGTGAGGTCCTTTGCTCCTTCCCTGTCCCCAGGGCCGGACTACCGAATGCCGGGAGTCCTGGGTCCCTCCTGATTCTGCGCATGGGCCAACCCAGGTCCAAGACTATCGGTGGTGGGTTGGTCGCGCATCTGTCTGGGTTCTGACGTGGGGCCTCCAGCCTGTGTTTGCTCCTGGGAATGCGTGAGGTCAAGGCTGGTCCCCACGCTGAGACGCTCTGCCTGCTGGGTGGTCCTGGTGCTCACTGAACCGCGCAAGCCTGGGGACCTGGGCCCTCATGTGGGAGGGCACATGTGCTGGGAGGTCATCTGGAAAGTGAAGTTCTGACGCACTTTTCTGTGCATTTGAAGGTTCTCGGGATGAAACTAATTTCAAGGTGTTTGAGGCTTACAGGGAAGTCCCAGAGCTGTGCCGAGTCCCCGTGCCCTCGCTCACGCCCCCAGCCTCCTGGCGTGCAGGGGTCCTAGGCAGCTGCGGCCCACCCTCCGATGCAGAGCTCAGCTGGTGCAGCGCGGCCGGCCAGGGTGGACTGCCCAGGGGCCCCGAGGCTCAGGGGCCACTCCTGCATCAGCAGGGGGCCCCTTGGCTTGGGCTCACTCAGATGGCGTTCTGTGTTGTTGGCAGGGGTCCCCCGGCATGACTCTGTGACCTCCTCTGTCCATGGTATTGGGAGCCCCAGCGTTGATGCATCTAACCTCTGGGGTGACCGTCAGGTCGCCCCTTCCCCTCCAGTCCCAGGAGACATGCCAGGCTGGGCGGGTGTGCAGGCCCTCAGGGCGGGGTGCATGTCGTTGGCAGGCCCGTCACCCTGGCGTCCCCTCCCCACAGTGACCCAGTCATCTGTTTGTGCCCTCGGGACCACAGGCCTTGTTGTTCCCCGCCCCCGCGTCCGCCTTCAGGACACGTGCAGCCACTCGGGATGGGATGGCCCAGGTCGCCTGGGCCCCCACATCCCTGGCTGGTGATCTGCGCAGCTCGAGGGACCTCTAGGGTGTGCCAGGCTTCAGGGCGGGTGGAGTGTGGGGTTTCTTTTGTTTTTTATTTTTAAACAGATGTAATTTGCATGTCATACCAATCGGAGCTTTTAGTAAATTCACAGCTTTATGCTGTGAGAACACTTTGTGTTGGCCAGCCTGAGGAAATCACCACCTCTAATTCCAGAACATTCCATCTCCCCAAAGCAAACCCCATCCCCATGAGCTGTCACCCCAGCTCCTGCCTGGCGCCCGGCTCCCACGGGCCCATGTTGTGGATTCCCCTGCTGTGGACGTGTCCCAGAAGTGGGGTCACGTGCTGTCTGACACTGTGTCTGGCGTCTCACCGAGCACCGTGTGTTCAGGGTCGTCCGTGAGCCAGGGCCTGGTCCTTGCTGTGGCTTCGTGGTGCTCCACGTGTGGGTGGACCACGTCATGTTTCCCATCAGTTCCTTGAACAGTTGGTGTTCCCACCCTTCGGCTAGAATTTGGTGAATCGTGCTGCTGTATAGATGTGCGTATACAGGCTTTGTGTGGGGGGTGTCTGGCTCAGGGCTGGAACTGAGGGACTTGGCAGCATCTCAGGTGCCTCCCAGCCTCATGCCTTCAGCGCTCACTGCCCTGCCCCTCCAGACCCTCTCCTGGGTTTTCCCCACCCTGACTTGCTGTCCCCTGGAGAGGGTGCTGCCTTGACACCTCCTAGAAAGGCCAGCTGGACCCCAGTGTCTTGGCCAGGCTTCGGGGGGGCCCTCTTTCCCATGCAGCAAGCACCCCTCGCACCATCAGTGGGGTGGGCAGCCACCCTGACGTCCACAGGCCTCCCTCGCATCCACCTGGTAAGGACATTTTCCATTGGCCAGCCCAGGGCTTCTGGGAAGCTAGGATGAAGTCGCGGCCCAGAAAAGCGCTTTGCAGCTCTTAGCAGCTCCCGTGCTGTGCAGGGCAGGAGGCATCGCCTGCCTGTAAATGGATTTCAGCCGGGGTGGGAGGTCTCAGCCCACCCCTG